AAAAAGCCAGTTCCTGAACACTTGGTCACCAAGCTGGTCAATATCCTAAAGATTCCTCCTCAGTAAATATTCACCGGGTCGCTGCAGAAGGTCTTTTCCTGCGTAAGCTGGAATATATGAGGAAGTGTTCCTGAAAGGCCATTAGCAGAATAATTTACAACTGAACGGGCTGCTAGTTTTTAAGACCCAGAAAATCCGCCGTGCTCTTCCAGCACTTCTTTTTTACCCCTATCAGCAATCTGCGTGATCATTTGTCTTCATTAGAACTCTTAGCAAAAAGTACAACATCCTCTCCTGTGTGGCCGCCGCGCCGACAGAGCGAACGTGGGGGCAGAACCTCCATCCATCTACATAAGCAGACAAGCTGTCGGCCGGCAGCGCAACGCCGATGATCCCGTACAGAGGCAATCATTAACGCAAACTGCCGGCGGCGCGAACACTCTAAGGTCAGCTATCAGTCTCCGCGGTAGCTGCGCTGTGTGTTTTAGGGCCGATGTCACCTTGACTGGCCTCTGCCGCGCTATGTTGGGTCAACCCGACAAGCAAAAAGCGGCGCTGCGAAGAGCACCGGCGGCGATAATTATTAAAAACTTGACAGCAGGTGAGTCGTGTCGCCGCGGAACCCCTCCCTGACAGCACAAGTCTCCCGAGTCCTATCAGTAACAGCCAACTAAGAAGCTTAACCCCCTCCATCCGCCGCGGCACAAAGAGCTGTCTGTTAGCCCACGGAGGCGTCCCAGGAGTCGGCCGAGACAGGTGGCTATCCCCACAGGGTATGTATGTGGGGGCTGGGGGCGCCGAACGCCGCGGTAATCAGAGACAAGTCGAGACAAAAGCTTGGTGTTATTTCAGCGGTGTGGGTTTCCAACTGTTGAGTGTGGTGGTGGAGGGGAGAGCTGGGGATGATGACATGTCATTTATAGTGTGAAATATTCAGATATGTTACACCTTCTATGTTAGGGGTTGTCCACAAATTATTTGTACGCAGGGTTGGGTATTTTAGATTTTTCCTGGAAAGAACAGACTTGTTTTTAATGAGGTGTGCTATCAATCAATCAACTTATTTTCTATTGATATGTTAGTGAGCGAACATTATCTCCAGCAGCACTCACATGAAGCTCGTACACAGTGTGTTAAGTTTAGAAAGACACGCTGGCCTCCGTCAGTCAGCGGCGGCGTTTCACCATAATTCTCTTGTGGCAGCATGAAAACTGTTGTTCTGCTCGAAAGTCTTAACCGTCCGAACCTCGAAACCCACGGAGGCATGTTGTTTTGAAAGAACTTACACCGTTTATCCGAACCAGAAAAAACAGAAACTTAGCAACAACGGTGCGTTTAGTGCTCATCTGTGATGTTGGGAAACTTAATCTAAGCTTAAAATCAGGACGTTTTTATCAAAATAGCTTCTTTCTACGTGTCTCAATTAAAAATTAGTCAAAAAATAAAGTGTTTGCGGGGAGAGATTCTGTACAAAACAGAACATTATGTGCTCCTCGTGCAACTCTGAGGCCATTAACTCAGCTGTCACGTGACCAAAATTCAGTTTAACTGCAGGCAGTGTTTGCACAAAGCACATCAGAGACAAGTGCGTCACCATCGGAACGGTCTTAGCACTTCGAAAAGTGTTTGGAATTCAACTTTTCTAAGGGAAACACCTGCTGTACATGTTGATTCCAGACTTTTTCCCCCATTTTCTTTCTTCGTTTTTAATGATTAACGTCATTATAACTGTGTCCAACTGCACGAAACATTAAATTCTTCGTGCTGAGTTAAATCCACTCTTATTATTATTCTGTCATGCTCATATGTACCAGCAACTCCCTTCTCCAGCCCAGTAAATACGGCACGGTCCCTTACATAACTCAGATGTTTTAGCTCGATCTGTATAGATTACACGATCGTGTGAGGAAACTCTATCCGATTGTTCCGCCCAAATTTACACTCCAGCTCTAAACCTCTTTCTCTTCTGCGTGCAAACTTCCAGGTAAATCAAACCTCCCCCCAAATGACAGAAGCGGATGGAGGCCGTCCAAATCCCGCTCAAGTAGAAATGATCTTGTGTTTTCATTGAAGCTGCGGATTTGAATGAGGGGGCTTTAAGAGGGTGCCAAGGAAACCTCGCCAAGTTTTGCATCCTAATCCTGCCCCCCCTCTCCGGATATTAGAGGTCCTTTACCTCTTAAAGCAAAGCACTTGAGTGAAATCTTCAAGGTCCCGTTACACCAGCCTTGAGATGCAGAGGAGGCTGTTTTAGCGGCGAGTTTTGAGGTTTTGAACTTGGACGGCTCTCAGACCGGACAGGAGATGGACACTGACGGCTTTGTGCGTTCGGGTTTGTCAAACCGGGGGTTGCTGACATCTAGAAGACCGATACAAAAAGCAGATGACAGCTAAAAAATGCGTCCTGATAAGCCACAAAAGCATGACGTAACACGTGTTGCGTCCAGTATTTACAGAAAAATCCAATAATATGATTATAATAGGAGTGCCCTGAGAGGACCGGGAGGAGGGAGGTTCTCCTCTTGCAGGGACAGCGATGGGAGAGTTCAGTACATTTGTTCGTTCCCAAGAGGATCACATCTCTTTCGCACGAAGGATGACAGTTTATGAGGGAGTGCAGACAGAAACCGTTGGGATCCCATCGTGACGAGAAAGCTGCAGGGCTGTGGGAGAAAATGTACAGAAACGATGACAGAGGAGCGCATTAAAAAAGGAACTTATGTGGGCAACAGCTTCGGGCAACAGGAGCTGAATCGTGAAATTCCTCAGCAGAATTCTTTAGGAGTCTTGAAAAAAAAAGGAAAAAGATGAGCGTGGAGCGAACACATCTTTGACGGCGGAACAGTTTATATGTATTTTATGTGACGTCTGAATGGAAAAATGTGCACAAATGCTAACAAGAGCAACATAATACAATCCTGAAAACGCCGCAAGACTTCTTCATTAAGTCGTCAGATCAACGTTTCTCGACCTCTTCGGGTCAATCAATTGCAACGCTTTCCTGCCGACCCCAAACTGCCCTCATTTGACCTTAATGAGCGTCCAGGGAATCACAAAGCAGAAACGTTTTGGGTTGAACCACGCTCGCCGACCGAGGGTGAGCCCCGGCTCGGCTCTCTTTGACGGCGCGGGGTCATCTTGTTGCCAGGAAACATTTGAAAAGATTCTTGACCTCTTGGCCGGTTGCTGGGAGGCCACACCGGTTGGAACCAGCGAGGAGATTATACACAGTGAGAACATCTTAATGTAGTCCATTTCCGACTGCAAAGCTGCATGTTTCACACAACAAATCAGAGTTACACCAAGTTTGCAATATATGCACCTGAAATAACCGCATACACCGAAGAGCTTCTGTAAACTTCAAAGCAAAAAATTTTTTCTGCCTCTTCTGCGACTCGCAAGTTGGCCGTCAAAGAGCAAAGTGAAAAGTTCAAACGCTCCGACGGGGTCAGCGCCTTCTGTACAAGTCTCTTTGATTCCTAATATAGGCACGGAAAGGCTTCCTGGCCTGGATAGAAAGAGAAAAGGGAGTGAAAAAAGGGAGGATCAAATAGGATAGGGGTTTGTTTTGTTCTCCTCTTTCTATCGGCTGAAGGTTCCCGGCTTGTGCAGCCTGCTTTTAATCTCAGCCGGCTCAACGGCTCGGACCGCGATGGTGTGGTCAGGAAAGGGCCTCCGATCCAGAGATGCAACAGCGAAGATCCAACAGATGGAAAGATAAAAAAAGGGGAATGAATGCAAGAATGGGAAGAGGGAACATTGGGGGGAATGGAAGAGCCAGACAAAAAGTAAGAGGAATATATGTCAGGACGTATGAATTATTGAGCTTTAGTCACTTTAGTGCCATTAATCTGCACTGTGTGATGATTTCACGTCCACCGGCAGTTACCTAAGGGTTACACACTTGGGGCTGGGGATGACTAATAAGCCAATTTTTAGTTCCGGAGTCGCACAAAGGAGCTGTACGGGAACCTCATTCACTGGAACACATCATAATAGTCGGGACATGTGTTGACATTGGCGGTGGTCACAGTGGAAAACCGGTTCCTCTACAAATGAATGCTTCACAAGCAGTTATTGATTGCATCCGAAATTCAACAGAACTTTCACGTAAACCCTATTTAAATGGTTAAAAGTTGTCTGTAACTGATGGAATGATGGTTAAATACAAATGTAAAAATTGATAGATGGCATTAAATCTTCTTTTCAGCCAACACCAGGATGAACCAGCTATTTATAAATCCATCTAATTGCTGAGGTGTAGCCACTAAAAGGTAATTAGCGCGTACAAAATCAGGCCGCACCATTAAAGCTAAAGGAATGTTACCCAACCAACCAAAACCAACAAGGTGTGTGAACAGAACGTCATCATTGCACCACAAACTGCAGCAGAACTTCTTTTGCAATTCCTTTGGCAAATATAGGTGTATTTTTATTTTACTTGGATACCGATCAGCCACAATATCAAAATGACTAACAGATGAGTGAACGACATGAATCATTTCAGTACAACGCAACGCTCTGCTGGGAAATCTCAGTTTCTGGTATTCACGTGGGCGATACTTTGACGCCCACGTAAATATTACTGCGGACCAAGAAGCGGGACAACACACCTCGACACTGATCGAGCAACACAACCAAGAGCCCAAAGCATTGATCCCTAAATTCCCAAGCTCACAATCTGATCGAGCAGGTATTGGATGTGCCAGACTGATCAGTCGAGTCTCTACAGGACCCAAAGTGGGTCTCCGCCAATGTGGGTCAAGACACCTCAAAAGGTTTCATGTCCAGAGCTGTTTTGGTGGCACAAGAGGGACTTAAACAATATCAGCATGCATGTCTTTTCAATGTATGCACACATATTAAGAAATACAGAATCAGCAGTGTTAGAATGATTCGGAAATATTTGATAACGTAGCCAATGCTATTTGCTAATCCAGGCTAACGTTGCTAGCTAGCTGGTTGGTTATTTTGAGGTCCACTGTGTCGTTAAATTGAAATTTCATTAAAAAACCTCACAATTTACACCAACATAAACAGTATTTTCCAGTGTCTGGTCTCACGTACTTTACCGTACACACAAGTAGCTTAGCATACAGCATGCTAACAGGCTGGTTTTGTCTGTTGGTTCAGTTGGCAGACAACAATGTGAAATTGTGAAATGGTTCGTGAGAACTACGTAATAGTTTGTTCTGGTTAATGTTTAGCAATTTGTAATTCTCCATTAAACATGTTAAAATCAGGTTTTATTTAAGGTTAAAGTTGCAAACAGCTGGAAACCAACTTACTGTAAAAAATAATTCAAGGAATCTATTCTCAAGATTGAAAAAAAAAAACAAAATCAAATTTACTGATTAAGATCAACTATTTAAGCTGCAAACTATATTTTGATTATCAGTGTGGACATAATGATGTCGGTAATTGCATCAACTTAATATTTTGTGTAGTTTCAACTCAAATTTTCGCATCGGTTGATTTAAAACTAAATTTAAGTTGAAGTGACTTGATGAAACTGGCTTCAAATCCCCTTCAATATCTTAACATGCCTGAACAATTTCAGACAGTTAAGATATTGGTAATCAAAAATACATTTGATTGTAGAGGAAAGTCTAATAGCCCTGACTCAATATCGTTTGTTGGTTGAACCTAATTTCATTAAAAGCTCTCGTAACTCTAAAAGACTGATGTAAGCTGTTGAGTTAAGGTTTGTGTCGAGCCCAAACATTATTTATTGTGTGGATATCCTTCCTGAATACCCCTTTTTAGTTGTTATACTTTCCATTTATGATCAAACCACAACATGAAGCGAATGATGTTTCCAGTGTCGTCACAACAAATACTGTGAAGTATCCCGTAGTGTGAGGCAGCTTTCATGGGCTAAAAGTCAAAGTGTGGAGCAGAAACTTAAACAAACCAAAGTCCAGTGGGCCAGTAAACACTAATGACCGTCGTGACTCATGTGTAATTTTGCTCCATCCTGTGGGATTCAGAGGAAAACGTTCCAGAATCGCTCTCACAGCTTGTTTAGTAGCCTTCCTGGCTGTAAGTACATCAGATAAATAATCAGCCACTCCTGGTGTTTATGGTGATTAAAAAATCTGCCCGAGTTATGGGCGGAATGCAGCCCGAGCAGCCTGGAGGGCAATAACTTCTCAAGCTGTCTGCTCGCCGTATTTGGCTTTCTCCGATGCTTTTCTGTGCGATGTTTACAGAAGCTTCCGAAGGGTGTTCGTCCAAATCTCGGCCGAGCGATTGAAGCGAGTGGAGACGGCCATTGTTAATATTTGCACTGACAGAAAGCAGTGTCTTTGCGGGGGCAGCGAAAGTTTCACGAGGCCTTTTTAAAAAGTGACTCGCTGAGCCACGGCTTGGCAGAAGGCCAGCGGAGCCACTCGGAGGCATTATCTAACGAAAACTGATGTTTTCCTGACGAATAAGCGAGTCGGCTTCCTGCTTGCACGGCGACCTAACGAGGATCAAGTGTTGGTCCGACGCCGAACGCTATCGTCGGAAAATCCCACGCGAAGGGCAACATAAGGGCTAAATTTGACGTTCATTAAGCAGACGAAAACGAGATATTTGCGCCATGAGACGGGCCTTGTTAAGTTTTCCACGACTTCTAACCCTCAAACATGGAGGTCCCTCTGCCTGGGAATGTAACAGCTTCATGTATCCATCACACATCCATCACACTCTTTACTGTAACAGGGATGTTTATGGACGTCTATTTAAAGCTGCAGAAAACTGTGAAACAAACCGCAGAGAGAGAGAAGCTAATTAAACGAGAATAAAGTAACTTGACGTATGTTTACTCTGAATGCGAGGCTTCCTGTCTGAGGGGTCCACTTTTGTCTCCGGCTCTTTTGATCTCCCCCTAAACCCCACTCCAGTAACCCATATCCCGTATCCTCATTTGCTAGCATGGTGACAGTTTCCCAGATACCAGACGGTATTGGTTTCCCTTCATCTTGTGGCGCAGGTCCAACCCCAGTGTCTAATTTGCTAATGGATCCCTGCTGGAAGCTGCCGTCTCGACTGTACGACGGTGTAATTATTTGTGCTCAAGTGAAGTAACTGAGGACTAACTAAGGGAATGAATAAATCATTGTTTTGTACTCTGCCCCCGAACTCAGGGGACGGCGGCTGATTTCTTCCTTTTGTTTGCTTTCTGCACAGCCTGGATGTCATTCACCTCCACAATGCGGCGACTATAATTGCTGTGAGGTTGATTTGACAAACTTGCAGTAACTTTACTTCACTGCAATGACAGCAGGACCGCTCTCCTACTTCCTAAAAGGGACAATTATACTGTAATGCTTGAGCACAGCAATCCGTGTGTTTCCTCCAACACGACTGGATGCTTTAGTGAAAGACAGCACTTGTCTGAATCTGCCTTTCATGTCGGAAATGTACACTTATAAGGGCAGGGGAAGGCCCAAAAGGCAACTCCTGTTCATGTGTAGTGTACCATGCAGGACTCAGGAATTTTAACTCGGAGCTATTACAACACAAACTCACAGAACCTGTTCTGTAGGTCCAATTATTTCAAGGCCACTAGCTCTAGTCTCAACATTTCCCCCTGAGCCACATTAGCTATCATTCATCCATTACACGGTTACATTTGTTAGGTTAAAATTGGGCGAGTTGGGAGAACGGTTTTTCTTTTTCGGTTTTAATTGAAACGTTGACAAGAAAAGGTCGTGCTGCCATTCAAAGATCCCTTCAGTTTAGTGGCCTCAGCCTGGTTCAGCTTGACGGGGGGGGGTTTAAGCTTGCCAAAGCCTCTGGGAGCCAGAGATAAGGGAAGGCAGCATAAAACCAAATAAAGCCGCTTTGCACTTGGAGTGAGACAAAGTTACAAGCATGCTTAATGTGCCTGGATAAAGTGATTATATCTGTCTGGACCTACTGTAACACTAAAAGTGTGCTTTTGTGCCCAGTCGTGCCGTTTCACATTATGTAAGAAGGCTGGAAGACACCCACAACAATCCTTCACCATGCTAAACAAGATCAGGCCCAAACACGAGGCAGGTCTGTGGACAAAGTGAATAATTGAAGACTAATCCAACAAGGCCCTGTTTCCAAAAGCCAAGTCCTGATGTCAGATCCCAGTATAAGAACTACTGGAGCACTGTGGCCTGTGGCCACTCATTCATTTGCAAGCCAAAGAGACCAAGGTTCTCATCTTTCCTATAATGACTTTCCCTGTATACTCCGTCTGGAACTTCAATTATCACATGAAAGATAAGAAGCTGGCGAGCTGCATTACAAATGAGAATAACACAACAGACCTTCAAATATTTTGCATGGTTGGCATTTCAAATTAAGCTCCGTCTCGTTTTAGTTTGAGTTGGTTGTTTCCAAACGGAGCGGTCCAAGCGTTCCACTCACGGCCTTCTGGTAACACGATTCATCATCTGTGATAATGCTCGTTACGCCACCATAAATATTATCCCCTCTTTTAATAGCTGGGGAGTCTTAAAAGGCACAAACGAGCAGCCATTTGCCAAATTTAGAACCATCTCCCAGTGTTTTGACAAAGGTACGCGACAGAAGGAAATAACATGGGTAATTTTCCACGGCACATTACACACAGCAGCCCAAAGTCTGACTTCATTATTAATAAATCGTCCTTAACTCAAATTTACTAAAAAAGGAAAGCGCCATAATGTGCACTTTCCATCTCATTAGGACGCCATAATGAGGTTTGTTTCTAAGAATTGGATGAGCGCCCAGCAGCTCCGACTGCATTAAGAACTTCACACGATGTGAGCAAAAAGAAATCACAATATATTATTTCATTTCCACAACAAAGCAAACAGTAAAAAAAAAACAAAAACAGCTTTTTCTTCCAAAAGCGGGCGTCGTAAAATACACATGTCAAACAAACCGACATAAGGAGTTTAAAGCTAAGATAACACATTTATGTACAGCAACGTATAGCTCTTGTTAAACCTGTTTTTTCTTTTTTTAACAGCAGAGAATTAAAATGTGCCGACAAAGCAAACATGTGTTTCGCATACGTCCGCCATCCATTACTCTCCCATCTGGCGTCGACGCGGTTTTGCCTCCAGCTCAAATGATCTATAAGACAATCAACATTACTTTGGTTTTCAGTCAAGCGTCTGTGCAACTAATCTCTGGTGTGCGAGACGACAACTTCTGCCGCCGCTGAGAGGAGCTCAGAAACTCCCATCAGTAAAAAATAATTAAAAGTTTCACATGTGCAGTAGGTGGTGCTCAGAATTTGGCGTGGATTCAAATTGCACTTGCTGTAACACTCAAACTAAAGGCTTTGAAACAGTTTAACCTCTCAGCAAGAAACGTCCAATTTTCCAAATGGCTGCTAAATCCTAATCTACTCCTCTGCTGAGATCAGCTGATTGTGGTTTAACCAACACGAGCCCCGTTTTCCACAGACGGAGGGGAAAAATGTCGCGGCACGGCTGATGCTGCTGCTTTTTGTTCAGCCTTTCTTCAATACTTCTAAAGCTTCGGGGTGTGAAAGATGAAACTAGGCACCTCGAATCACAGTAGAGCACCTTCGTAACGGAATTAATCTGCATGATAAGACATTAAGACATCACTGTTAAGATTTAATTGTCAAGTGGTTTCAAGGTAAAAATGTAACATGAGTCGGTGAGACGGCTGCTAGAAAAAATTAAGCGTGTGGAAAAAACAAACAAACTGGCAGCTGTGTGAGAAGAACGTTTTTAAAACTGTGTCTTCACAAAACACGAGTCTCAGTAGTCTCTGTAACGCTCAGCACTATCCGAAGCAGTAGTATTCGTCCGACTCCACCCTGAGTTTCAGAGGGGATTTGCTGAAGGCGTCGCCGTCGATTACAGTTTTCTCCACGAAACAATCGAGGTCCGTGGGCGAGGGGTGATCCGGGAGGTCTTCCGCTAGCGTGTCCAGGTAGCTCCCCACAGACAGACCGTCCAGGCCGTCGCTGTTGCCGTCGTTCAAGCTGTTGAAGCTGCCTCTCAGCGAGGCGCCGTCCTGGCTGTCCGACAGGCTGTACAAGCTGCCCGTCAGGCTGCCATCTTGGCTGGCAACACCTCCTTTGTCCTCAATCATCCAACGGATGGACTCGATGCCCTCGTTGATCGACATAAGCTGCTGCATCAGCTTCACGTCGATGGCTCGCAGGTTTGCCTGTTTGTTGGAGGGAAAAACAACCAAGTCAGGTGTTGGTACTCAAGGATGACATATGTAGCTTAGCTTAGCATAAGGATGGTTCGGTAACAGAAGGCACCTAGCAACACAACTAAAGCTGATGAACTTACATGTCATTTCTTGTTAATTATTCATCTAAAATAACATGTCTAGGTGAAACTGTGCAGTTTTCTGGACTGTCATGGTTCTACAGGTGCTGGCTGTAGCCTTATGCTTAACAGACAGATGTGTATTAGCTTTTTCTCATGATATTTTGGCACCTATGCACATTTCTCCAATTCCCAAACTTAAACATCCCAGTCAGGTTGTGCTACTTAAGGATGACGCATAATTTAAAGGAGGAGTTTGACACTTTAGGAAAGCTTATTGGATAGATGGACACCATTCTCATATCTGTCTACTAAATATACGGATACAGGAAGTTGTCAGTTAGCCTAGCTTAGCATAAGGATGGTCACGTAGCAGATTGCACCTATCAACACCACTAAAGCTCACTATGCTACATGTCATTTCTTGTGTAATTAATCACATGGTGTGAAGAAGAAACATTGCAGTTTTATGGAGAGTTGTGGTTCAGAGGACAGATTGTTTGGTTCTTATCTTATTTTGGCGTAAAAGCAAATAAGCACATTTCTCAAAATCCCAAACCAATACTTAGACATCAACAAGATGATGCATGATTTTAATTGATCGATGGATAATACTCCACTAAATATACAGATACAGCAAGCTGTCAGTTAGCTTAGCTTAGCATAGGGATGGCAAACGGCTAGCCTATCTCTGTTAGATAATAGAGCCTATAAAAACCAGTAAAGTTTTACAAGTTACACACCATTTCTCGTTATTGAGCCACTTAAAACGAAGTGTGAAGATGAAAAATTACAGTTTTATATCAAGCTATGGTGCTAAAGGGCAGTTGGCTTGGTGCAGTTTTATGGACAGTTATGGTTCTGAGGGCACTTAGCTTAGACGTTTATATACCAGACAGACGTGGCAAGAAAGCAAAGATGCTCATTTCTCTAAATCCCAAACTGTTCTTTTAGTCACTACACTACGTCGTCTTGAGCAGAACAACCCTGCACTGTAGCATTACGAGCTAAAGTTAGCATCAAGATTCAAAGCCAATTCTTGACCCTGGAAACAGCAGTTGAGACAACAGTCCCACCGGCGTTCACACACGTCCATGACAACTGTGCAAACTTCACAGATTTCCTCCTTACAACTGCGAGGATTCTTGTGTCGTCTCGAGGCAGGAACACTGCGTGCAGCTTTGTTTGGACTATCAGTCTCGGTTGTGTCACGCCGACTGCGTGGAACCGGAAAAAGGACTCGTGGAGCTTGCACATCCAGGAGACAGTCTTCATCCCAGATCGTGAATGATAGGCCTTTCTTTGCACAGTATGGCCATTGATTGAACTCCTCGTCACGACAAAGCGCACTGTTGAGCGTGGATGGAAATAGACAGCCCCATGGAGTCATTCAAAGGGATTCCCCTGCGTCTACTGGGTGACGAACGCCCGGTCTGAATGAAAAAAAAATGGTAAACGGGCAGCTGCAACATCCTGCCGCGGTCAAAAAGCATGGAGGCAGATGAAGGCAGACAGGGCTGGTACAGTGTTCCAGACAGCTGGCTTGACACAACAGCCTTTCTTTGGAGTGGATTTGCAACCGCCCTTCGTTTGGCTCATATTTCTGGCGGTGTGTTTGTTTTGCAAGTATAACCACCTGCTTTATGCACACAGCGAGGCCGAGCAGATGGAGTCACACCGGCGTTTTAGTCCAAGCAGCTATCTCGTGTTAATAGGATGGCACCGGTGGGCCTGTATCGCAAAATGAGTTTCAGAAACACAATTAGTGCTGCATAATTTTTTGTCTGCGCTGGATGGCAAACACACCACAACGCGCTTAATTTGTCATATATAGCTGAAAAAAAAAAAAGACCTGGTTTCACCTTTAAAAGTTAATTTGCTCCTTTGACAAGGAAATAGAAAAAAACACACAATGATGTCGCCACACAGGTTTGTGCGTCTACCAGACGTGTGCACAGAGCAGTCTGATTGGATTAGTGGTTAAGCTGTAAAGGGAGCCATAAAACCAGGGAGGCATGGGTTGGCTCAAATTTGCAATCTAACAGTAAGAGGCTGCTGATGAAATTACACTCAATTATTCTTGTTGTTTTTTTTTTTTTAAAGTCATGCAGTTCATTTTTTCCTACTTGAGGACAATAACACGATGACACAACCCCCGGTGAATGTGTCAAGTCAGGTTGAAACAGGAACTAATTAAACTACGGTACAGATTGTTCAGCTCACGAGGACAAAATGTGCACTTCCTATATTGTCCTTTAACATCACAATGAATCTAATCCTATCAACGCAACGTCTGTGGAGCTCGGTCAGTCTGCCGGCCATGACGCAGCCCGACTTCAGTCTGCAAAAAACTCGGTCAACAAGACCATCTGCTCAGGAATCCTAATACCTTTGGTGACCTTACTTATTCAAACTGGGAGGAGGTGGGGGGTGGTTTTGCTGTGACTCCAGGCCCGGCAAAGCTTCAGTCAGTCTAACGTGCATGACATTTGGAAACTACTTATTGAACGTTAGCTGCCGTGTAATCATGCAAAGATAATTACGCTGGCACAAGCGGGGCCGAGTTCGGATCACAAGAGGGACCGAGCGGAGGAGGGTGGCTCAACAAAGGTCTCTGTGGTGAATACGTGTGAACAGCTCTCACCTGCCGCCTGGCTTCACGGCGCTTTTAGGTTAGAATAAGCACAACAGAACGTTTAGCAACCACATGTTGATACGTGGAGCTGTTTTACATGGATAGGAATTTACTCTGAGTCTGGGCAGGCTCCTGTAGATGCAATACAGTGGATATAATCACTTATTTTGCATGTAGCAGCCATATTTAAGGAGGTTTTTTTTTGCTATAATTTGAATGCTTGTGGGTAAATAATTAGCTTTAGCAACAGTTAATGGATAGGAATTTGCTGTGAGTCTGGGATGGTTCCAATAAATGTAGTATAGTAGAAATAATGACTCATTTTGCACAAAAATAGCCATGCTGCAGAGATATTTTACATATTTTTTAGCATTTACTTGAACATTTATGAGTAAATAATTAGCTTTAGCAACAGTTAATGGATAGGAATTT